TAACCTTCCACATTACAGGATGAGTCCTAAAGAGAATGAAATTTTATGGGAAAAGGTAGAAGAACTATTGAAAAAGTGACACATTCAAGTCAGTATGAGTCCTTGTGCAGTACCAACATTGCTAACACCAAAGAAGGATGAAAGTTGGAGGATGTGTGTCGACAGCAGGGCCATTAATAAAATTACTATTGGCTACAAATTCCCCATTCCTAGGCTGGACGACATGCTAGATCCAGCTTAATGGAGCTGTAGTTTCTAAAAAATCGATCTCAGGAGTGGATACCATCAGATCAGAATCCGCCCCGGAGATGAATGGAAGACAACCTTCAAGATTAGAGATGGCCTGTTCGAATGGTTAGTCATGCCCTTTGGACTAACCAACGCACCCAACACATTCATGAGGCTGATGAACCAGGTACTRCGTCCCTTTACTGGTAAATTTGTTGTGGTATATTTTGATGATATTTTAATTTACAGCAAATCTATCACTGAGTACATTGGACATATTAGGGAGGTYCTAAAARCATTAAGGGAAAATAAATTATATGCTAATTTGAATAAATGCACTTTCATGAATGATAATTTGTTATTCCTAGGGTTCATTGTGAGCAATGATGGAATTAAAGTAGATGAAGAAAAAGGTGAAAGCCATTAGGGAGTGGCCGACCCCATCAAATGTCACAGATGTAAAAGACGCTTCAAATGGGTTAGCAATTTTCTATAGGCAATTTATTAAACATTTCAGTAGTATTGTAACTCCCATCACTGAATGTTTGAAAAAGGGAAAATTTCAATGGGGGGAAGAACAAGAGCAAAGTTTTGCTCTCATAAAAGAAAAGTTATGCACTGCTCCTGTCCTTGTTTTACCAAATTTTGATAAATTATTTGAAGTTGAATGTGATGCCAGTGGAGTTGGCATAGGGGTTGTATTGTCCCAAGAAAAGAGACCCATTGCTTTCTTCAGTGAAAAGTTATGTGAATCTAGGAGAAAGTGGTCCACTTATGACAAAGAGTTCTATGCTGTGGTGAGAGCTTTGAAAACATGGGAACACTATTTAATTGCAAAAGAATTTGTTCTTTACACTGACCACTAGGCCCTAAATTATCTCAGTGGGTAGAAACAATTAAGAAGTGATTTGCATGCAAGATGGTCTGCTTTCCTTGACAAATTCCCATACAAAATTGTGTAGAAGGTTGGATAACAAAATAAAGTGGCCGATGCTCTTAGTAGACGTGTAGCCCTCATCAAGACCCTCAGTATTGAGATTGTGGCTTTTGAGTGCCTAAAAGACCTATACGCCCAGAATGAGGACTTCCAACAGGTATGGGAGAAATGTGTGAAGCGACAGCCAGCAGATGATTTTTACATTTATGATGGGTTCCTTATGAAAGGGGAACAACTGTGCATCCCTTGCACCTCCCTCCGCGAAAAGATCATTAGGGATCAGCATGGGGGTGGATTAGCAGGACACTTGGGAATGGACAAAACAATTGAAGCAGTTAAAGGGCGATACTACTGGCCGAAATTAAGAAGGGATGTGTCAACTATTGTGAGTAGATGTTATATTTGTCAGACAGCTAAGGGACAAACCCAAAATACTAGTCTCTACATACCTTTACTTGTTCCTACTACTATTTGGGAAGACTTGTCCATGGATTTTGTTCTAGGCTTGCCAAAAACTCAAAGAAATTTGGACTCCGTCTTTGTAGTAGTTGACAGGTTCTCTAAGATGGCTCACTTCCTTCCATGCAAGAAGACAACAGATGCATCAGCGACAGCCAAATTATTTTTCAGGGAGGTTGTCCGTTTACATGGGGTACCCAAGACTATTACATCAGATCGAGATACAAGGTTCTTAAGTCACTTTTGGATGACCCTATGGAGGTTATTTGACTCATCACTAAATTTCAGCAGCACAGCCCATCCGCAGATAGACGGACAAACAGAGGTGGTGAACCAGACCCTTGGTAATTTAATTCACAGTATTTGTCGGGAGAGACCGAAACAGTGGGATTTCGCCATAGCACAGGCCAAGTTCGCATATAATAATGCAGTCCACAGCTCTACAGGTAGGTCTCCATTCTCCATTGTCTACATGAAGGTTCCTAGTCATAAACTGGACTTAGTGAAGCTACCCAGAATACCCGATGTCAGTACTTCCGTAGAACAAATGGCAGACTAGATCCAACCCATCCAAGAAGCCGTGAAGTAGAAACTGGAACAAACCAACGCCAAGTACAAGTTGGCAGCAGACAAGCATCGTCGACACCAAGTATTTGACGTCGGTGATGAAGTGATGGTATTCTTGAGGAAGGAAATGATTCCCGTGGTAAAATACAACAAGTTACAACCTCGTAAGTACGGTCCATACAAAGTCATGAAGAAAATCAACGACAATGCTTATGTCGTGGACCTACCAGATCATATGGGTATCTCCAAGACATTCAATGTTGCTGACCTTCATCGCTACCTACCAGACATGACACTTGCATATCCTAGTCACGACTCGGGGTCAAGTTCTTTCCAAGTGGGGGAGAATGATGGAGGCCCATCTCATCATGGAAGCCCATCTCACCATATGGGCGGCAGTCCATAGGATAAGGAAGCTTGAAGGATAAGGATAATTCAAGAATTCAAGATTATCCTATAATTCAATAATTCAAGATCCATCAAGAATTCAAGAATTAAGACCCATCAAGACCCATCAAGAATTCAAGATAATCCAAGAGTTCAAAATTGACTTCATTTGGAGCTTCCCGAAATCAACTCAAAATTGAATTCTCATGTCTTTTTGGTGCACCAACTTTTAGCAGCTAGATCTGTTATGAATCAAATGGAAAAAGACCGTGGCACGGTCTACCCGACTTGTAAATAACCAAAAAATCACAGAGAAAGACACACCAAAAAGGGCCTTAGTCTGTGTATGAATACTATCAATCACTAATATATTCAGAATGAATTAATCCATTTTATTTGATGAGCTAGCATTTATGCATTAGGCAAGGAAATCTAAAATAAAATGACTACCATGGTGTTTGGAAGCGTGGGCGTTTTTTGGGACCGATTTTCAAGAAAAAACCGCCCATGCTTCCAAGACCTGTTTTTCACAAAAAAAACGCTCCTGCCACATCGGCAGTGAATAACACTATGCTGTTTGGTAAAGTGATTTTCATCACCATTTTTCATGTATGTGTTGACATGTAAGCACCACATAGGATACACATCAGTCAACCGTTAGGGGAAATGGTTCACCGATGCGGTGGGGTCCCGATTTTTAAGGCATGCCTGAGTTTTTAATAATCAGCTGGACCAAACAATGAGATACATGGACATTTGTTGAAACGCCTATGTAAATCCAACGTGACACCGTTTTTTTTTTTTAAACAGCCACGGTTCCAAACATCTCCTACGCCACAAAGAAGAAGGATTTATTAAGAACATATGCAAAGTTCTTCATTCAAATTTCAATGATTTAGACTAGACGACTAAGCCCAATCCTCTCCTTTGCCAAGTACAAACAACTCTAAACACACACATCAAATTAACCTTTCAATCTCATCAAGTTGCATATATAATTAAGGCTGGTGTGAAGGAGTGAAAATGGAAAGTGAGTTGACATCTATCATACTTTACAATGTCTGCTAAATCAGGAGGTGGAATATCTACCCAGATCACTTTCAAAACAAAACTTTAATTTGTTGTGCCATAAAATGTGCAGCCCTATTCCCTTATCTTTTAACATAAACAAAACAAACCATATCTAGACAGTAGACACCATCAGATATTATACTCGAAAAGTGGGAACTATTGAGCTTGAGCTGTTAAAAGAAGGATTTATAATTTAATTAGGCATTTTTAAGTTTATTATGGACCTTAAGCAAGTGGGGTGTCAACCTTTTCTGCAATAAGGAAGCAATTAATGGATAGCTTTGCCAATTAGGATTCGTCATACTACAGTGAGGTACCGGTGTGTCCTTATCTTTCTGAAAAACCATAATTATCATTCAATTACTCTGAACCATCTGGTTTGCAATTCTACACACTAGCGCTTGATTTGTCTACCATCTGAGATCATATATATATATATATATATATATGGGATCATTTGATTCTTTAGAGTGGGACCCATTTGATGGTGGAACCCTAACTTAAAAAAAAAGAAATCACCAAGGATTGTAGGTCACTTATAAGAACTTCTGTACATATATTGGAATCTTTTAACTTGATTTATGAAAACTATACTCCTGATGCAACAGTACTGTCAAAACATTGCAGTAATCACAAAGAATAGGACCATGCCACCAAAACCCATTATTTTTTACCTATCTATATTTTTATAATATATGTTATAGTTATTGTTGATGATTTTTTGTTTATTAAATAATTCTAGCTATGATACCCAGATCACCTAGCATTTGGATTTTGGACGGTGATGCAAGCCATTAGAACGAACTGGATCTCATAAAGATTAAAGCTGATGGGTAATGGATAGGCTGGGAACAATTTGATAATAGTTGAATTCGTGAATGCTTCCACCTTAGAATTGAAAACATTATAAAGATTATGAGATGCATGAACACAAAAACACCAAGGCATAGTGACTATAAACATCAATTTATCTATGATAAATTCAATTCAGCCAGCCAGCCCTTGTGGTGGTAGGAATCATGGAAGTCGCCAGCAATCTGAAATAGAAAAGAGGAAGAAAGAAGAGAACATGGCTTTATTGAAAATAAAGAAGTAGGTTTAAATTAATCACTCAAGCTTATCAAATGGTGTGAAAGGAATTCAAAATTTCAAATGAATCGACATCCATTAACTAGTATGGGATAAAGTAATTAAAGATGTCCTCCACTAAAACTGTGGCTTGAAACAGTACGTATATTTGATTCGATGTGGGCCTCGACAGCAATATCACACTTTTGAGTTACTAGCTAGAAGCTTGAAACGAAATAAACCAGACAGAGAGTGTGCCCCTGTTGTGGGGTTTGCATTGTTCCTCAACTTAGCATCTTACGCGGTTTTGTATTCCCTCCTATTCCTATAAATACCAACTCTCTCTATACCGCTTCGTCCAATGCATGGTTGTGTGATTTGAACAACTTTCCATGGCTATTCACAGAGTTACTAGTATTGTTTTCTTTCTGTTGTTAGGTATAGGGATATGTTCAGCCGCTAGGGCCCTCTTAACCGTAGAGGAAAGAATTGTCCATAGTCTAGGCTCAGAGGTTGTGCCTGACCATGGCATTGGTGGTGGCTCAGGCTATGGAAGTGGAGAAGGTGCCGGTTATGGGGGTGGAGCTGCAGGGGGTTACGGTGGTGGTGGGGGCTCTGGAGGAGGTGGCGGAAGTGGAGCCGTAGGAGGACATGGTAGTGGTAGTGGCGCAGGTGGAGGTGCTGGATATGGAGGTAGTGGTGGTAGTGGTGGTGGTGGTGGAGGTGGCAGTGGCTATGGTTCTGGAGGTGGGCATGGTGCGGGCTATGGAAGTGGAGGTGGTGCAGGATACGGTGCTGGAGGGGGACATGGTGGTGGTTATGGTGGAGGAGGGGGCAGCGGTGGCGGTGGTGGATATGGTACAGGGGGAGGTCAGGGTGGTGGCTATGGTAAAGGTGAAGGTGCTGGCTATGGTGCTGGTGGAGGAGAAGGTGGCGGTTATGGTGGAGGTGGTGGGGGTGGCTACGGCAGTGGAGAAGGAGCTGGTGGAGGTGCAGGGGGACATGGTGGTGGATATGGCAGTGGTGGTGGTGGAGGACATGGTGGGTACGCCCCATAAAATAAATGCCTCAGGACTCCGTACGTCATAGTGTGATATGCCTTCTTATTACCAATAACCAGTATAGTTTGGCAACGAGGAGGATAAGTCCAGCGAGTCTGTGTGGCTAAGTGGCAAGCTTAATGAGAGTTTGTTGAATAAGATGTTCGGTTATTGTAATTAAGGTTGTGTTTGGTTGCAGTGTATTTTTATTTTTATTAATAATGGGAGTATAAATGAAAAAAAAATATAAATTTTGGTTTAATTTTGTTTTGAATTTTATCTTATTCTACTTTGAGTCTTATTTTATTTCATTTTTATTGCAATCAAACAAAATAAGATAAAATTTAAAACAAAAATAAATCAAAACTTGTACCCAAATCATTAGTTTTACATCAATGCAAATGAATTTGCGCGGCAACCAAACACAGCGTAAATGTTAAATCTATGTTGCATACTCGTGAAACGTAGTTTGTCATGAATCATGAAATGGAATAAGGTAATTTTGCTTTGTTTTTCTTTTAACTAAAAAGGACCAGAGTATACTGATACTGAGTTTACAAGCTTTTCTTGTGCTTCCTAATTAATTAGCTTTTACTTGTAATCTTATATGTATTTAATTTGAATGCACACCGATCTTTATCTTTTTTAGGTTATTATATTACATCTAGAGTACATAGAGCACATGGTGATCAAACTACTTCCTTCATCTCTTCACCTATGCTCTTATGCTCATTCGATCATATCCAATCTCATTTACAAGTATGAAATAGATCTTTATATAAATGGTTCTGCTTTTAGAAAAATATATTTGGACTAATAAGCTTAGTCCAAATATAAGGAAATAATGGGCTTAGTCCTATTATCCCAATTCTAGACTGCCTTATTTTTGCAAAAGAAAGTACGGATAATGTCTTTAAAATAAGAGAAGTAATGAGAATGTTTACTGGAGCATCAGGTCAATGCCCAAACTTTAACAAATCCACAACAATGTTTTCTAGAAATCTTCACAATATAGATGTAAAAAGTTGATATATATCAAAGGTCCTCAAAATACCCATGGTGAAGAAGGAAGACAAGTATTTAGGGGCTCCTATCATTGAAGAGAGAGTAACAATGAAGACTTTCAAAAGAATTGGAGAAAATATGGAGAACAAAGTAGCCGGATGGAAAAGAAATACACTATCATTAGCAGGAAGGGTCATTCTCATAAAGGAATCTCTAAGTAGAGATGTCAATTGGATTGGATTTGGTCCAATTCAATCCAGTCCAAATGTGAGTCCACTTATGAATGGATTGGACCCAATCCAATCCAGACCGAATGAAATATCAAAAGATATATAAAAAAACAGAATATATAAAAAATTATAAACATATATTAAAATGAAGAAAATCTGAAAATTACAAAGTATGCCTTTTCGGCATCGAAAAAACACTTTGTAAAAGTACTTTCATAAAAATATTTTGACAAAATTATTTTCTTAAAAGTGTTTTTATAAAAGCTCTTTTATGAAGGTACTTTGTAAAAGTGCTTTCATAAAAGTACTTTTACAGAAGTGTTTTTGTAAAAGTGCTTTCGAAAAAATATTTTTCATGAAATTACTTTTATAAAAGTGCTTTTGTAAAGGTGTTTTGAAAAAAATGCTTTTGTAAAAGTACTTTCATAATAGTGATTTTATGTCGGCTTTAGTTTTGATTGGTTTCAAATTGGAAAAGGGTTTGGCCTCATGATCGGGTTATTGGAATTTTGGTTTAGGTCCAATTCAAACCAATAAGAATATGGATCAATTTATTTTGGATTGGTCCAATCCAATAATTATAATGAATCATCCAAATCCAATTTGATAAGATTTAGATCGGATTGGACCCCATTCAAAACCAGTTGATTGACACCCCTATCTCTAAACATGATGCCCCAATATATCATGGAAAATCTAGAGAAAAAGCAAAGGGAATTCCTGTGGAGAAACAGTTATAAAGAAAAAAAAAACATAAATCTTGTGAAATGGGACACAATTTGCAAACCAAAAGATAAAGGAGGGTGGGGGATAAAAATCCCTCATTGGGTTAAATATAGTGAGCCTAGCGCTAGGCTGGAAAATTCTAACCCAACCAAATAGCCTGTGGGTAAAAGTGGTCACAAATAAACATTTAAAAAAATGAGAACCTATAGAGACTGGCAGACAAAAGGAATATTTCATGGGCATGGAGAGGTATCTTGGAGAGTAGAGAAGTTTTAAGACAAGGAAAAGGATGGGTAGGAAATGGTAAGTCTATACATTTTTGGGATGACATTTGGGTTGGCAATTCTCCACTAAGAAACAATCTAGTGAGCAACCATGAGGAGGAAAATCTTATGGTTAGCGATTTCATCATAACTTCTGAGAACATGTGGAATAAAGAAAAAACATTACAAATAATGAGGAGGATACCATGATATGGAAACCAAACGGTAAAGGCCAATACTCAATTAAATCGGCTTACAAGTTTTTGGAGGAGAATTTGATAGATAACAATAGAGAGGATAGGCTAAGTAAGATCTGGAAGCTTTAGTGCCCCCCCCAAAGATACAATTTTTCATGTATTTAGTTTTAAAAGGAAGAATTCTTACGCGAACTAGGTTAAAAAATTGGGGGTTGGGTAATGACCCAAGTTGCCCATTTTGTGGAAATGATGAAGATATCAATCACCTATTTATTCAATGAAATGAAAGCAATCAATTATGGAACAGTATAGAATGTGAGAGTATTAGACTGAACTCAGGAGAGACCCTTGATGAATGGTGGAATAGAATGCTCAAGTGTAGAAATATAAAAAAAAAAAAAAAAAAAAACATGAAGAAATGGGGAGCATTATTCTATGGAACATTTGGAAAAGAAGGAATTGTAAGTTATTCCAAAATAAGACAATACCTATTCATCTCCTCCTGGAAAAGATAAAAAAGGAATTCTGGGTGGAAGACACTAACCAACTCCCCTTTAATCAAGAGAAGGAGAACTTTCTTATAAGATGGAACCAATCGAAACGGGGCTATTTTAAAATAAACTTTGATGCGTCAAAAAATCTTGAGGGTAAGTGTGCGATTGGTGTCATCATGCGAGATGCGTATGGTAGAACGATTTGGGCAAGTTGCATTAGAGAATGCTCTTCAAATGAAGCCGAAGCATGGGCTACTCTCGAAGCCCATATTGTTATTGCCAGGTACCCTTAGTCGAAGTTGATCATTGAAGGAGATTCAAACATCATCATCAATAGTATAGATCCCCCTGGAGCATCAAAAGATCTATCAAGGAGCGTAGGAATTTATCTTTAAGTCACAACCTCGATGTTTCCTACGTGCATGTCATGTGGGCAGCAAACTTTGTGGCAGTCTGGCAGATCGTCTTGCCTGCCTTAGTCATAGGATAACGGTCTTCAATTCTAGTATTTCTAACTCTAAATTTTCCTTAATTTGTTTTTTTTTTACACCTGGGGGACATTTCCCCAAGCGTCATGAAGAGTTTTAGTTTGCTTTCTATTGTAACTTTCGTACCTATGAAAAACCTTAGTTTGATTGATATGGATCATGATTCAATCCATTCAAGTCCTCGTATCCTTTCTTACGATTTTTTGTTCATTAATAATAATCAAATAACATTGCTACATCCTTTAGGTTTTATGGTATGTATTTTCCTATTTTTTAGGTTTTATGGTATAAGAATATATAACTTTTTCCAAAATATAGGTGCATTTTAAGTGGGTTTAACTAATTAGGCTTAGGTATTTGTAACATGAAGGGGGTGTTAAACAATGTATATGCCCTTAATTCCAACTGATGTATTGTATATATCTTTATTATGAATAAGATAACTTTTATTTCATGTGTCATGGGTTTGTTCTATTAAATCATCCCTTAATTTATATTAGTATTATGTATGAGGTCACATAGTTAATATGGACTTAAATTGTTGCAACCAGTGGATAGACTTAGGGAATCTAACTTGACAAGGTTGTCATGCTCACAAGGCAATGTAGCAGTGGGTCTCAGTTTCTCGGGTTTTAACCTATGGTTTGAGAATGAATGTTTTACAAGAAACATTAATATGGACCAAGCCTAGTGTGCCCCTAGACTTTGTGATAGGTGGAGCAACTGGGTGTTGCTTTTAATCTCTAGACTTGATATTAATATTAGATTGTGTATCAAACTTATTTATCTTTGATATGCCAACTCACGAGATCCTTCTAGGGTCAAATACCTAAATATATTGGGATATTCAAGAATCACTACATCAAAATTGAGAAATAGCGACAGTTTAAAAAGGGGCTAAAGGCAAACAACAACTGAAAATAATAATCCATAGTGGCAATCATTTAAAATAGCCACTATACACTACAAAGACTGTCGCTAATAACTAAGGCACGAATTAGTTGACCTCTTTTCCCGCCCTCTTCTCTCTCATGCTCTGTCTCTCTCTCATAGTTGACCTCTTTCCCCCCCCCTCTCTCTCTCTCTCTCTCTATCTATCTATCTATCTATCTATCTATCTATCTATCTATATATATATATATATACCACTGTCAATGACCAACTAGGTTTTTCTCAGCTTAGGGCTGCAAGTCGGGCCAGGTTAGGTTGGGTTGAGGCCAACCCTAACCCTAACTCAATCCAACTCAGTTAACTTCGGGTTGGACCCAAACCAACCTTCTTCCCATCCCTTAAAATCTCATAGAACTTCTTAATCTCAGATCTGAACTCAACTTTCACTATATATAAATATATATATATATATATATATCCTATGCTTTATTAGTATTTGTTTGTTTCTGTTTTTATTGGTTCTTTAAGTACAAAATTCAGAAAAAATAAGTGTTTCAAATGACTATAGTTTATTATTATTTATGACTTATAATAAATCTTTTATGGGCAGCAAGCTATGGGTGGCAAACAACAGAGAGGAGGTAAAGAATAAAATACTCAGAAAACATAAAATATGTTATTAAGGTTTTAGTCTTTCCAATTAGGATTAAGTGAAGTGATTATCTTAAAAGAAATAAAGGATAATATGTGGTGGGGGCTATACAACTATCATGCATCTAAACAAATCAATATATATATATATATATATACATATATTTGTATATGTACTATAGAGTCAGGTTCGGGTTGGGTCGGGTTACCCGAGGGCTCAACCCTAACCCTA